GAGAGCAGCAAGCAGCTTGAGGAGGGGCTGCCGGGCCTGACGCCCTCCCTGATTCCCTCGTTTATTCTGCTTGAATTGGGCGAGGTTTCTATTCCATATCATTTATATCAGTGTGTCCACAGTATGTACCCTTTGCAGAAGTGTTATTAGTTAACCCCTAGAGTTGCCAGGGAGCGCGATCGAGCTCCTCTTTTCTTTCGCCAAAAGTGCCCGGGAGCGCTATCGCGTTCCCTCCTGCAGTGTCACTATTAGATGCTAGTAGTTCACTCTTTATTGACAGATGGCACCCTAAGTGCAGATTACTTACGATGCCGAATGTTTGTAGTTCTAAAATTGACCACTGGCATTTATCTTCCTAATTTTTTACAGGTACTATGATTTTGTGAAGTTTACTCAGATTTTGTAGCCCTAGATTTTTGAATTTGGCGTCCAGTTATAAGTCTGCTTTTATTAGTGATGATGATATTGCTAAATATGTCAATTCTTGCTGTGAAGATGACAATTTTGTGGAAGATATTGGAGAAGGGTGTCCCTCTATTTTAACATTATATGTTTTGTTCAAATTTTTTTCTACTAGTATTTTATAATACAATCAGCAAACAATATATGTCAAAGATGAAAACAAATGTAGTAAAGGTTTCCTTAAGTTTTTCAATATGTAACTTCACTTACTTGCGATTCACAATTTTTTTCCTAAACTGCTGTAAAATCAGCAAAAATGCCTTGGCAATTTTAGCATAGTTCCTAGGATATTGGTTGGCACTCAAAGGGTTAAGTTGCCGCCCCAGGTCCGCTCACGTGCACCTCTTGGCTTCGCCCATCCCCGACTCTGCAGCCCTGAGTTAGACCCGACCTGGACACCTGGACGGGCGCAGGTTGATGCTGAAGGTTTCAGCCATTTGGGGCTAATCCAGGGGGAGCTGCCGGGCTTGAGGGGCGCAATTCTTGGAGTAAGTGGCCAGAGTAAGATGAGTGCCTCTGCGGCAGGAGGTTTTCTGGTCTTTCCTGTTGTGCCCAGGCCTTTAACCTTTTATACAGGCAGCCGCCACTGGCACGGACAGCGCTTTGTGTACATTATACAAGGAACCCTTTCCTGAAGACCCTATATATTCAGCTGCTGGAAAACTGTTATGGGAAATGAGAATGGGGTTTAGATGGTCACAACCTCCCCTCCCTCCCCAGGAAGCAGGCAAGTTGCTACCTTGAAACCAAGCAAGGGGCTCTGCATATCCTTAGCGTAGAAGGAATGTATTCTCAAGGCTGTCACCTTTTAGAAAAAGAGGCAAAACTCGGCCAGTCCTCCGAGTGATGCCTGGCATCACCAGTCAAATGGCCTCAGGTGGTTTGCCGTGGGCACGGCTGCGTCCTGGTTAAGATGGCGGAGCCACACAGCTGGGTTTGAATCCTGGCAGCTCCTATCAGCGGTGGCACTGAGGCAAGTTACTTAATGCCTCAGATTCTTTATCTGTAAAGTGAAGTTAAGGAATAAATGAGAATGCACCGAAAGTACTTACCAAAGGGCCGGGCACAGAGTAAAAGCTCCAGAATGCCCAGTGGGACCAGCCTGAGTGGGATGTAGCGGGCACAGAAGGGGAGAGACATGTCTAGTTCATGCTTTACCTGACCCTGGGAAGGTACCCCTACTACAGACCACATAGTAACAATTGGCCCTCGCAGACTGGACTTCCAGCATTGGTCCCTGCGGGCCGACTAAAGAACTGGTGCTCTAGAAAATAGTGGTCATGGATTAGCATTTTCCTTCTGCCCAAGGTCACATGACCAATAAGATGGCCAAAAAGTGTCATCTCTGAATTTGTGTCAGCTGTAAAGTGGATGTGCTGCCTGCGGAGGGCTAAGTCCCGCAGGAATGTTGAGGATCCCCTAGGCTGTGGTGGGGTCTCAGGAGGGGGCCCTGGGTGTGCTGCGAGGGGCGCTGCTGGGTGCAGGGCGGGCTGGGCCTGGCTGCCGTGACACCTCCTCCTGCAGGTGCACGTGGCCTCCTGTATCTTGGGCATCATCGTGATGGCGACCGCCAACTCTCTGATGTGGACATTCTTCAGCCGCGGCCTCAGTTTCTCCATGTCGTCGGCCATTGCCTCTGTCACGGTGACTTTTTCGAACATCCTCAGCTCGGTGAGTAGCCTGAAGG